ACTCCTGCTTGTCTCCCTTTGATGCAGTCCCTCAGTGTTTGGCTCTGATAGACGTTACTCGTACATATTTCTGTTGGATGCTATTTCTAACTCTTTGGCCCTGATAAAAATTACTCCTGCTTGTTCGATGCGTTTCATCAATGTTTATCCCTGAAAGACGTTACAGCTGCTTGTCTCTCTTCGAAGCCGTTCCTCGCTCTCTATTCCTTATAGACGATATTCCTGCTTGACTTTCTTCGATGCAGGTACTCACTGTTTGGCCCTAATAGACTTTACTCATACTTGCCTCTATTCGATGGTGCTCCTCACCATTTGACCATGATAGACACTACTCTTGCTTGTCCTTGTTCGATGCTGTAACTCACTATTTGACTCTGGTGGACATTACTCCTGCTTGTCTCTGTCCAATGTTGGTCTTCTTTGGCCCCGATAGGTGATAATCTTTCTTGTCCCTGTTCGATTCTAGCCCTCACTGTTTTGGCCTTGATAGACGTTATATCTGATCGTCTCTATTTGATGGTGTTCTTTACTCTTTGGTCCTGATAAACGTTACACCTACTTGTCTCCCTTCGATGTTGTTCCTCACTATTTGGCCCTGATAGACATTACACCCGGTTGACCCTTAGCGTTGCAGTTCCCTAATCTTTGGCCCTGATTAAGGTGTGAGAAACTGCATCGTACAAAGACCAAGAATGAAACACTGTCTCTGGATGGAGAAACAGTGAGAATTAGCGTTGGATTTTGCCAGGAACTGAAGAACCACATCTGACTGAGATAAGGTACGAAAAACAACATCATATAGAGACAAAAGTAGAAGAATAAAATCCCAGACGGTCAACATGTGAGGAACTGTACAAAGATCAAGAATGTGACAGTCGTTGAATAGAGAAACAGGTAATTAGCATCGGGTTTCCTTTAGAACTGTAGAAATGATAGAAATTCTGAAGAACAGTATCGTACCTCAATAGAGAGTGATGACTAAGATTTACAGCGACCGCATATGATGAATAACGTGTGAGACTAAGATTGAGGAACAGCGTTGGAATAGAGAAAACATGGCGTATAACCACGGAGTTCGGAGAGCAACTGAGAAATAACGTCTGTTTGAGCAACGGAATCGTACGGAAGCAAATAGTGACGATTAATGCCTTCAGCGGCCAAACGTCTGGAAAGACAACCTATAGACAAAGAAAATTAGAAATATTGTAGGAATATGCTAGCAACGAGGAAGAGAGTCGGATTTCGTCGAAGACTGGGGAGTAACGTTTGTCTGAAGAAAAATATGTGAGGAACAGTATCGTACAGAGACAAACAGTGGGGGGGGGTGTTAACTTCTGCAGCGACCGAGTGTGAAGGACAGCATCGTACGAAGGCAAAGAATGCTAAAGAGTACTGGAATAGAGAAAGATTTGGGCGTAGTGTCAGATTTCGACACAGACAGAAAGATTCTGTCTGCAAGAACGGATGAGGAACACCAGGAAGAAACAGTGAAGAATAAAGTCTACGGCAACCAGCTTTGAGGAACAGAATCGGACAGAGATTAAGAACAGCGTCTGGAGGGAGAAACAGTAGGGAACAAAGTTGGAGAAGCGTCTGTCTGTGGAAAAGGTATGAGGGGCACAATCGCAAAGAGGTACACAGTGCAGATTATGGTTTGCAGTAAAAACGCGTGAGGAATAGGAAATATCAGAGACAGGATTTAAGAAATTGCATTGAACAGAAACAAGTACGAGTAACGTTTACCTGGGCCAACGAGTGAGGAACAACATCAAAGAGAGACAAATAGGTGTAACGTCTATCGGCGTCAAAGATTGGGAACTGCATTGAACAGGGACAAACAGTAGTAATATATTTCAAGGCCAAAGAGTGAGGAACAGAATCGAGCAGGGACAAACAGGTGTAACGTTTATCAGGGATAAAGTGTGTGTTAGGGCATTGAACAGAGACAAAAAGGAGTAATATATAACAGGGCTAAACAGTGAGCATCACAATCGAACATGTACTACCAGGAGTAACGTCTATCAGGCCCAAAGAGTGAGGAACAACATCAGAGACAAGTAAGAGTAACGTCTGTCAGGGCCAAAGATTGGGGAACTGCAACACTAAGAGTGAACAGGGTGTAATGTCTATCAGGGCCTAACAGTGAGGAACAACATCGAAGGGAGACAAGCAGGTGTAACGTTTATCAGGACCAAAGAGTAAAGAACACCATCAAATAGAGACGATCAGATATAACGTCTATCAAGGCCAAACAAAGAGGGCTAGAATCGAACGGACAAGAAAGATTATCACTAAAGAGGACCAGCATTGGACAGAGACAAACAGGAGTAATGTCCACCAGAGTCAAAGAGAAAGAGTGAGTTACAGCATCGAACAGAGACAAGCAAGAGTAGTGTCTATCAAGGTCAAATGGTGAGGAGCACCCTCGAATAGAGGCAAGTATGAGTAAAGTCTATCAGGGCCAAACAGTGAGTATCTGCGTCGAAGAAAGTCAAGCAGGAATATCGTCTATAAGGAATAGAGAGCGAGGAAGGGCTTCGAAGAGAGACAAGCAGGAGTAACGTCTTTCAGAGATAAACATTGAGGAAACGCATCGAACAAGCAAGAGTAATTTTTATCAGGGCCAAAGAGTTAGAAATAGCATCCAACAGAAATATGTACGAGTAACGTCTATCAGAGCCAAACACCGAGGGACTGCATCAAAGGGAGACAAGCAGGAGTGACGTATATTGTTGACCATGTTTGCCATAGTCTCTGAATATAGATTCCAGTGAAGTCCGTAATGTGTTCAATATCAGAGGTTGGCAGTGAAGATTCGGAGAAAGTAGCAGCTGTTAAGTAATTCTTTAAGTCTATTTAAAAGATATTTTGGGAGAAAAAACAAAATGGCTGCCTTTATACATGTCGGATTGAATATTTTGAGCTTTCTGATTGGTTAACGCTTCTATTGGTGAACTATAAAATGAGTCAGCTCATTTTGGTTGGCTCACTAGTACATACATATACCCAAAAAACTGTAACATATATCCCGAATAAACATTGAGGAACAGCATCGAACTGAGACAAGCAGGAATAATATCTATCAGGACCAAACATCGAGGAACACAATCGAACAGTGACATAGAGTTATAACGTCTACCGAGTCCAAAAAGAGAGGAACACCATCGAACAGGGACAAGGAGTAACGTCTATCAGAGATAAAGTGAGTGTAAGGGCATTGAACAGCGACAAACAGGGGATAACGTCTATCAAGGACAAACAGCATGGAATGGAGACAAGCAGATGTAATGTCTATCAGGGCCAAAGAGTGAGGAACAGCATCGAATAGAGTCAAGCAGTGATAGCATCTACCCGGGATAAATATTGAGGGACAGAATCGACCAGGGACAAGAAAGAGTAATCTTTATTAGAACCAAAGAGTTAGGAGTAGCATCGAACAGAGATAAGCATGAGTAACGTCTATTAGGGTCAAACACTGAGGAACATCATCGAAAGAAGACATGCAGGAGAATTATCTATAAGGAATATAGAGTGAGGAACGGCATCAAAGAGTAACAAGCAGGAGTAACTTATATCATGGATAAACATTGAGGAACACAATCGAACGGAGACAAGCAAGTGTAACGCCTATCAGGCCAAAAGAGTGAGGAACAGCATCAAACTAGGACAAGCTGAAGTAACATTTATCACGACCAAGTATTGAGGAACGGCATCGAATAGAGAGAAGCAGGATTAATGTCTATCAGAGCCAAAGAGTGAGGGACATAATCGAATAGAGAGAAGCAGGAGTAATGTCCATCAGAGCCAAAGAGTGAGGGACATAATCGAAAGAGTGAGGGATGTCCATCAGAGCCAAAGAGTGAGGGACATAATCGAATAGAGAGAAGGGAGAGTCTATCAGAGCCAAAGAGTGAGGGACATAATCGAATCAGAGCCAAATCAGAGCCAAAGAGGAGGGACATAATCGAATAGAGAGAAGGGAGTAATGTCTATCAGAGCCAAAAAGACATAATCGTAGAGAGAACATAATCAGAATGAGGGAGAAGAATAGAGAGTAATGTCTATCAGAGCCAAAGAGTGAGGGACATAATCGAATAGAGAGAAGCAGGAGTAATGTCTATCAGAGCCAAAGAGTGAGGGACATAATCGAATAGAGAGAGGGATAATCAGAGACAAAGAGGAGGGACATAATCGAAAGAGAGAAGCAGGAGTAATGTCTATCAGAGCCAAAGAGTGAGGGACATAATCGAATAGAGAGAAGCAGGAGTAATGTCTATCAGAGCCAAAGAGTGAGGGACATAATCGAATAGAGAGTAGCAGGAGTAATGTCTATCAGAGCCAAAGAGTGAGGGACATAATCGAATAGAGAGAAGCAGGAGTAACATCTAATGTTATAAATGTGAGGATTAGAATCGATCAGGTACAAGCAGGATTAAGATCTATCGGGACCAAAGAGTAAGAACAGCATTGGTCAGAGAGAAGCAAGAGTAATGTCTCTCAAGGCAAGGAGTGTGGTACACTATTGAATAGAGACAAGCAGGAGTAACGTCTATCAAGGATGAAGAATGATGATCTACATCAAAATAAAGATAAGCATGTGTAATAAGGAGCGAGGAAAGGCATTGAACAGAAACAAACAGTAGTAAGGTTTATTAGGACCAAAAAGTGAAGAACAACATCAAACGGAGGCAAGTAGGTGTAACGTCTATCAGGGCCAAACAGTGAGGACTAGAATCGATCAGGTACACGTAGGGTTAACGTCTATTGGGGCTGAAGAGTGAGGAACAATATTGGGCAGAGACAAGCAGGAGTAATGTCTATCAAGGCTAAAGAAAGAAGAAGACCATCGAACAGAGATACACAAGAGTAATGTCTATCAGGGCCAAAAAGTGAGGACTAGAATCGATCAGGTACACCTAGGGTTAACGTCTATTGGGGCTGAAGACAAGGAGGAGTAATGTCTATCAAGGCTAAAGAAAGAAGACCATCGAACAAGAGTAATGTCTATCAGGGCCAAAAAGTGAGTATCACAATCGAACATGGAGAAGCAGGAGTAACATCAATCAGGCCCAAAAAGTGAGGGACAGAATCGAACAGAGTCAAGTAGGAGTAATGTTTATCAGGGCCAAAGATTGGGGAACTGAATCGAAAAGAGTTTACCAGGAGTAATTTCTATCAGGGCCAGAGAGCGAGGAACAGCATGAAAGGGAGACAAACAGGTGTAACGTCTATCAGAGTCAAACAGTGAGGACTAGAATCGATCAGGTACAAGCATGATTAACGTCTATTGGGGCTAAAGAGTAAGGAAAAGCATTGGTCAAAGACAATCAGGAGTAATGTCTACCAGGACCAAAGAGTAAGTTACGGCATCGAACAGAGAGAAGCAAGAGTAATGTCTATCAAGGCAAAGAGTGAGGAACACCATTGAATAGAGACAAGCAGGAGTAACATCTATCAGGGACAAACAGTGAGTATCTGAATCGAAAAGAATCAAGCAGGAATATCGTCTATGAGGAATAAAGAGTGAGGAAGATCATCGACCAGAGACAAGCGGGAGTAATTTTCATCGGGGAACTGAATGGAAGAGTCTACCAGGAGTAATATCGATCAGGGTTAAACAGGTACAGCATCGAAGAAATACAAGTAGGAGTAACGTCTATCAAGGATGAAGAGTGAGAAAGTACTTTAAACAGAGAGAAGTAGGGCCAAACAGTGAGGAACAATATCGAAGAGAGACAAGCAGGAGTATCGTCTACAAGGAATAAACAACGGCATCGAAGAGCAACAAGCAAGAGTAACGTATATCCGGGATAAACATTGAGGAACAGCATCGAACAGAGACAAACAGGAGTAACGTCTATCAGGCCCAAAGTGTAAGGAACACAATCGAACAGAGAAAAGAAGGAGTAATGTCTATTAGGCACAAAATGTGAGGAACACAATCGAACAGAGACAAGCAGGAGTAACGTTTCCCCGGCTCAAAGAGTGAGGATCATCATCGAATATAGATAATCATGAGTAATGTCTATCAGGGCCAAAGAAGTGGTACAGCATCAATACAGACTAGCAGGAGTAACGTCTATCAGGAACAGTGACGAACGGAATCGAACAGAGACCAGTTATTATTTAAGCCGGTTTATACTCCCAATGTGAAAGTTTACAGTTTTGGTGCGACTAAATAAAACGTTTAGTGGGTGTTAAATTGGATATTAAACGTTTCGTAACATAAGTTTTTAAAAGACTCGATTCTATTAGGTCGAGTCATAAATAATTTCCGTCTATATTTGCATTATTTATACACAGACTATTGTCCTTATCATTGTCTTTGTTGTTTGTACTATTTTTATTCGGACCGTTATTCTCATCTTTGTAGTTATCACGACGTTTTGGCTGTTGCGCTCTCCGGCCTTCCTCAGGTGTATATCGATCTGGGTAACTGTTGTGGTAGGATCCACCTAATTTGCATAGTGGAGTTCCGACCATATAAATATGGTTGGTACAAGAGATTCAACCAGAGACTCTGCCCGACTGCGACTCAGTCAACACATTCTCCAGGAACGGTCTTACCAGGAATATACAAAAGACTATATGTAAATATTGTGTACACTTTCTTGTTTCAATACATTTTGTTCTAAGTACATTTTGTGTTGCATTATTATTCCATGCATTAGTCAAGTTTCAACAATGGCGACGAGGATGAGATGCTCTCGATGTTCGTCGACGGTTTCGCTCCTTACTATTATGTCGTCTAAGTAGGCGCACGCAAAGTCTAAATCGTTCAACAGTAATCTACAAGGAATTCTGAACTGAGCACTTTATTTAATCGCCTAGGGTAGACTGTTCTCGTTCAACTGCCCATGTTTAGGGATATTGTTTTGTTCTTATTGTTATTTATTATTGTTCAGTTATTGCTCACCCATTTCCACTGTCCGGTGACATAGTGATTGTGAGTTCAATCCCTGGATCCGGTAGTGCGTACTTAGTGGAAACGGACGAGCAATAACCGAACAGTACTAAGAAGAACTAGATGTTACCCTTTGACATGGGCAATGTACCGCCGTAGATTAAATAAAGGTTTCAGTTCTAAATTCCCTGTAGGTTAACCAGATCGATATATGTTGTAACCTATGGAAGGTTACTGAATAGAATAATCACACGAAGGTTGGTAATGAACGTTAATACTTAGGACAGGAACAACACATATAAGATTCGCCAGCGGTGCGTAGAAGAAGTAGTCAACTGCTAGAAGTGAGTCAAGTGAATTCCACAATGAATCTCCAACTGCAGGATATCTACCAACCGCCCCACGCGGTCAGGTGTGGCACAAGGCCGAATTTAATGTGGGGTTATCGAATCCAAAAGGCTCGACCAAAAATTCCCCGTAAACCCCGAACACAACGGGACGGGTAGCTATTTCCCGAGACGAGATTCTGCGCTTCGATATAGCCTCGTCTGGGGATCCACTCTGCCCGGAGGCAGAGAGTCTGACCAGTACAACAGCTGCAGACCAACATACAGTATTTACTACTGTATTTATGTGAATGGGGCATGCCCATTATCGTTTATAGGTATGCTACAACAATATACATCTGAGGAAGACCGGAGAACACAGCGGCCAAAACGTAGTGATAACAAACATTAAAGATTAGGAGAATAGTCCGAATACAAATAGGGTAAATAAGGATAAGTCTTTATTCCAGAAATTCAGACAGAATTTTCCTTTTTTGTTTCTGAATTTTATTCTTCAATAATCATTTTATTCAATTATGCCATTATTTGCAATGACTTGTTGTCACATATCAGACAGCCCTTCAATACCATTTGAATAGAATTTCACGGAGAAAAAATTTTGGAAACACAATTCTATGTGTATGTAGGCTTGTGAAAAATTTTACACATAGGTTTATCCACGGTTTTAATACACGTGACACGTGTCTGACCAATGAGAATTGGCCCAAAGATAATTGAAAACATCAGTGTTTTCTGTCTTTTTGTTCGTTTTCTCTCAATCTCTGACGAAGCTTAATAAAAGTGAAACATGTTAAATTGATACATGTTTCCTATTAGTTCGTTGATTTAATTAAGTAATTAGTAAATTTTCATAATTTAAATATATTCAAAATATTTACATCCATTTAATTTAATTAATTTAAGGACTAATAGTCAATAAAAAAACTCTATGGACCATTTATTAAGTCATATATTAGCCATGTTGCCCAGTAAATTTATAAAATTTCTGTGGTTCATCTGAAATTTGCCATGGCCCATTTTGACGATAGGTTGGTAAACACTGATTTAACCAAGTATTATCTCTACCTTTTCCTCCTTAGTTCGTATAAATTCTTAATTGTTGCGTGTGTATCTGTGTTGTTCCGCCACTGTACTGTAAGTTAGTGTTTCTTGGGATGGGAAAAGTGGCACGTCAACGCTTTTACTCGAACGTTTGCGAACACGTGACCCGAGATTTGCTACAAACAACAACTCAGAAGGAAGTAGGCGGGGTAAAGGCAATGGAAAGTTGGGGTCGGGGAAACGACTCGAGGGAGGGAGAGGATTGAGAGTAGGAAAAAATGAAATAAAGAAAAAAAAAATACTACATTTACAGATAGAACAACATATTGGTTATTTTAAAGGAAGAGAATATTTCTCCGATCCCGGTAAAATAGGCAAATATGCTTTTAAGCTTATTTTACCGATCTCGGTAAAATAGCCCACAGGATATTTTGCCGGCAAATATTTTTTATTATTATGAAGGCAGGTAATGTTGAAAATAAGAACACAGATATTCGTCATCAATTGTTAAGACAATTTAAAATATTTTCCGCCATCAATTGTCAAAAAAAAAAAAAAAACAAGTTAAAATGATTTATTCATTATCAGTTATTAAAAGAAATATAGAAGTCTCTGAATATTTTAAACACTTTAAGCAAAACAGTCTCTGCAAATCCAAAACATGAGATGGTTTTCTTGCCAATAAACTACAAGTGCACCCACTGAAGACAAGAGTCACAGACCACAGAATCCATGTTGTCCTCCCTACACGACTCACGCAACCGCAGCGCTGACGATCTCAAGACTCCATAAACACGTTGGGCAGCTTTTCAGTTTTCTGGATCAAAATATCAGTGGATCTTCTGGATTGATACATTTTCATCCAGACATGCTGTTGATATTGCAGAAGGATTTTGTTCCCGAGTATCTTCAAAGAGAAGTTCTCAAACCCATAGCGCGAATGGCATCTTTATCAATGACAAAGTAGCCAAATATCTGTAGATCTGATATATATATATATATATATATATATATATATATATATATATATATATATATATATATATATATATATATATGAATAAAATGACAATAGAAAAACTGGTAATTGCTGACGCGTTTCGTCCAATGTGGTTTTTGCTTTGATAAAGTCCACATTGATAAAGTCCATAAAATACGAAAATGAAATTAATTTCATTTTCGTATTTTGCTTTGATAAAGTCCACATTGGACGAAACGCGTCAGCAATTACCAGTTTTCCTATTGTCATTTTTATTCATAAATATTGTCTTCTACTGGTTAAATCAGAGAAATTTCATATATATATATATATATATATATATATATATATATATATATATATCAATGATATATATATGTATATATAGATCAATGATATATATATATATATATATGAATGATATATATGTATATAAATATATATATAGATCAATGATATATATATATATATATATATATATATATATTGTCATCCACAGACAGACTGTTTCGCTGTATCACAGCTCATCAGTATGGCTAGACATCCGGTTGCTCCTATCTAGGATAGAAACCCGATTGAATTGGCGTCAGTCGGGGATTCTACCACTAAGCCGTTGGCGCACGGCAGGGATGAAGGTGAATTTTAAGTGTATTTATTTTTAGATTAACACCCAGTGACTGAGAGAACTCAATTCGATTTACCGAAGAGTCTTGCATTATTAGCCGTAATAGTCACTGTTTACAAACTCACACTTCCTCCCCAGAGAGCTCAACTGAAATAAATTTTTCAGGATATATATATATATATATATATATATATATATATATATATATGTGTGTGTGTGTGTGTGTGTGGGACCTTACACATAATAACATAATGGACTATACCATACGTAATAAATACTGCGCCTCAAGAGGAAGCAGGGAGTTCAGTCTGAAGTCTGGAGTCTGTCAGTCAGTCAGAGCGAGCGAGTCAGTCAGTCAGTCGAGTCAGAGGCAGTCCGAAACAGAGTCGCGTTCACACAATTACTACAAGACATTGGAATAATGATACTGGTCGAGACTACATTGTTCTCCCTACTAAACCTGATTGTTTGTACTAACACTTTCTACTTTTCTGTATATATTTCTGTTTGTAATATATCTGTGTTATTCCATATCCGTGTTCGAGTTCTTCTTTATTGGTTCTACGTTGGACCCTCACTGTGGACCATAACAATATATATATATATATATATATATATATATATATATATATCAATGATATATATATATATATATATATATATATATATATATATATATATATATATATATATTACAGTTCAAAAGTTTGAAGCCACCCCCAGAATTAGCATGGGATGAAACTTGACAGAAGAGTGAAAATAAAAATTAAAAAAGAGCTCTTAGAATATTTGAAAAAGAATGGAATCAGTTATCAAACTTATGCTTTGAGAAACTTTTGCAACGAAATCCAAAAATTTGTGCTGCAGTAATCAAGGCTAAAAGAGGATATTGTGACGAGAGTAAAATTTAATCATAAATTGCTTTTTTTTCTTTTTGCCATAATAAAATTTCTAATAAAAAAATCATATCTCACTTTTTTTTTTAACCATGTATAATAATTTTCTCTTTATAAAGTGCAACAAAACTACTTTTGGGGCCATTTTAAAAAATTAGCAGGGGTGAGCTCAGATTTTTTTTTTTGATGTCTATTGTACCGGAACCGGCGTGATACTCTTGGTGTTTAATTTACCGGGACCGGCGAAATACCCTTGGTGTTTAATTTACCGGGACCGGCAAAATACCCTTGGTGCCCATTTTACCGGGACCGGCGAAATACCCTTGGTGTTTAATTTACCGGGACCGGCGAAATACCCTTGGTGTTTAATTTACCGGGACCGGCGAAATACCCTTGGTGTTTAATTTACCGAGACCGGCAAAATACCCTTGGTGCCCATTTTACTGGACCGGCGAAATACCCTTGGTGTTTAATTTACCGGGACCGGCAAAATACCCTTGGTGCCCATTTTACCGGGACCAGCGAAATACCCTTGGTGTTTAATTTACCGGGACCGGCAAGATATACTTGATGCCCATTTTACGGGGACCGGCAAAATAGCCTTGATGTCTATTTTACCGGGGCCACTTTTTTACAGAAAGCTCATTGTGTCCCATCAACCATTATATTCCATTTGTGACACGATGCGTTGTCCTGCAGGAAGTGACCGCCATAAATTGCGGTTCTGTGGCCAGCTGCAATACCTAGGTAGGTCGCTGCATTTTAACGATATTTTATTGATACTTAAAGTTCCAATGGAAACCAAGAAATTATACTTCATACCATTACACCAGCAACAGCAGCAGCAGCAGTACTGAAACCGTTGATGCAAAACAGGATGTGACTATACAAATTCTCAACAAGGGTCCATAAGGCCCACAGGGGCGCATGTAACATTATTTGAGATCCTTACAAAAAATAGCAAATTGGAGGTCCACGGTAATATTTTAATGTTCCATAGAGCAATTTCACTTGTTAAAACTGGGAATTGGAATTTTTACAGTAATCTACACCATATTAAAATGCTAAAAAGAGAAAAACTGCGCTAACACTAGTAGAAAACGAGATCAAGCGATGTACTTTAGCGTCCCTTTTATTCTACCGGATCTTTTGATTGTAAAATTTGATTAAAACTGAGAAGAATATATAAGGGAAGGATTATATATATAAAAGAAAATTATATAAATTCTTATAACTCTCCGCGTGGGACACGTGTATATGTAGTTTTGTGTATGTCGTAGTAGCATTATAAAAGTATCTCTGGGAACAGAGCATGTTTGTCATTCCTGTTCCCTTCACCCATTCAGTTCCGTCCGTGAAATGCAGTGTTCTTATATCACGGATATAATAATGCCCATAATGGGCGAAATACAAATACGAGAATAAATCTGTCTTCCCTTGCTCTCTCCTGTTATAGTATTATTATTTGAATATTTGTTTGAGGTAACCACATTTATATACATTTATTTTTGCTGCTGTACTTCCTCATGTAGAACCCCGTTCACCACGTGTTGACTGTTCTCCCACTGTAACTTTCTTCCCTTCGGTTTGTTCTCAACCGACGACCATGTGCACCTCGGGAGACTATGTAAAATCACTGAGGATCCACACAAAAACCTTATAAATTGATGGTTCACGGTAATATTTTATTGGTCCATAGAGAATTGGAATTTCTACAATAATCTACGCCATATTAAAATACTAAAAGTAGAAAAACAACTCTAAAACTAACAGAAAACGAGATCAAGTGATGTACTTTAGCGTCCCTTTTACTCTACCGGATGTTTTGATTGTAATATTGGAATAAAACTGACAAGTATATATAAAGATAGGATTATATACAGACATACGTACATATATATATATATATATATATATATATATATATATATATATATATATATATATATAATTTATTTGAAAATTATAACATAAACATATTATAAACTCACTTGATAAGACACCAGAAGTGTTGAAACAAAATGGCTATTTTGTAGTGATTTTATGTTTATGCTATAATTTTCGAATAAATTATATTTGCTCTACTCTGTGTCGAGCACTCTTTTAAGAATAATATTTTGGTCAGTGGAATTTATTCCGTATACATCAATCCTGTACTTTATATATATATATATATATATATATATATATATATATATAAATAAAAAAAGAAAGAACAGTAAGATATAAAAATCCGGTGTTCTTATAGATATTTTTATTTTTACAAAATAGTGCTCAATGTAAATTTACAGAGCATTAATATTATAATTAATTGATTTAAAATATGTTTTTTTTTACACAAATACAAAATCCAGTTTAAAACCCCGAATTTAATTTTTCAATTAAATTAAAAGCATTTTCCATTTCATCTTCAAAAAAAATTCGCTTGAAGATGAAATGGAACTAATGCTTTTAATTCAATTGCAAAATTAAATTCGGGGTTTTTAGCTTCTATTTTTGAAACATGGTTGAAACTGTAGCGAAAAAACCATATTTTTAAATCAAAATAATTATATATAATTATATATATATATATATATATATATATATATATATATATATATATATATATAAAGGAATTAATTAATATGGGGAATAGACTCGATATTCGACTAATATTGATATCAATGTAGCCGAATATTTAAAAAAAACATCGCAGAGCAGCATCAACCACAGGAATCTCATTGAATAAATCTGCACTTTTTTATTTATTAATTAATCACATATTTTAAAATGGTTTATTATGAGTTATTTTACTAGTGTACACAAATGTTCCATAGAATACATTTATTTTGTCTAAAATATCATAGAAAAGTATTTTTAACATGGAGGTGGGTTGACAGTCTGTTTTTTGAAAACAATCAGTAAAATGACATAAGTGAAATAAAATTACATGACGAATACAACGTAAACGCTTTTTTATATATATATTTTTAAACTACTTAGTAATCATAAAAGTTTAAAATATTTTAAGCATTCTAACATTTTATTGGATTTTAGGTACTATGGCTTTATAAGCTTAATTACAAAGATGCTTGTTGAGCAAATATGAGAAAATTACCAATAAATTTTAAATTTATTATAAGTACTGCTCTTAGTTTCTGATAATGTTGTGTATAGATATCCATATTTACAAAAATCGACAAGTTTATACACTAGGTTCGTTCAATTGTACTGAGCTTTCCCATTTAGAATTAGTAAATACAGTTTTAATTTAATAACACTTGACAACTACAAATATGGAATTTTAAAACATTTAAAATTATTCTAATTAAAATATAAAAAGAGAAAAAATTCTTGCAAAAATTCATTATTTTTCTCAAGATGATAGTGCCCATAATATATTTTAATCACAAGATCAATTAAAAACTTTGTGGAGTAATAGATAGCGGCTCGGATTGAGGTAATCGGAAAGCCGTGTTCGAATTCCAGTCGAATCTATTACGTTCACTTACGTGCTAATACCCTTGGGAAAGGGGTGAATCCTCTTCTAGCACCCCCCACTCCAGCTATGGGTAAATAGCAGGACAGACCGGGTTCTATAGTGTTGGATGGCAACTGGTCTACCGCAGAAAGTAATGGCAACCTACTGCGGGAAAAAATCTGCCTCGTCAGTGATGTATCAAAAGATACATGATCACCTAAGCGTGTATCACGCTTGGTACATAACTGATTGAATTAATTTCTAATTAAATATCTTTTATGGCATTTTTTATTTTACGATTGAAAGCAGATTTTTTGTATCTGGGTTCTTGTTTGACCCAAAAGATTTGATGATCCAAATTCTCCGTGGATTGGTTCTTATAACGTTTTTTTAATACTAATGTTCACCCAACGAAAGGCCCAAGAAGCACCCAAGATAGAGGGTTACCGTGTGGTGTTTTACGATTGTATGAGCGTAAGAAAAGGCAAGAAATAAAGTTAACGGTTTAGCAGGAAAGATAACGGTTAACCCTAAATTTGGAAAAGTCAAGATTATAGTGACTGGAAAAACATCCTGCCGGGAGTCTGTTCCACAAAGCAACAGTTTTGGCGGGGAGAAGCTGTGCGAGTGGAACTTCTTATTAATGGAATATGAAGGGAATGGTCATGGTTCACTCTTGTGTACGTAGCATGGCGTGTCCCAGTTGGAAAGGTCAGGACTGACTAGACTAAGGGACGTAACTCGTCAGAATACATATCTTGGAAATTGTGATAGAGCAGTGAGAGGCTACGGAAGTTTCGTCTGCCGTAAAGGGGTTGTAAGGTTTAAAATAAATCATTGCTCATAAGGTCACCTAGATGCGTTTGAATATGAAGACTGGCATGTGATGACTGGGAAACTCCAGCTGCGATGTGGTAGCAGTACTCTATTTTCGATTCTAATCTGGCTCTTGTAAAGACAGAGTATAGCAAAGGGGGATTCAGGTACTTACTATGGTGGTAGAATGAACCGAACATTTTATTTTCAGAATCTTTAACAATAGACTGGATATATGAGTGCCAATTAAGGTCTGGGGAGAGCTTGAATCCCAAGAAGCGTTCAAGAGAAGACTCATCCATCGTGATAGGTGAAACTTCAGAGTCGGCTAGGCGTTGGCAGAACGTTACTAGTTTGGTTTTGGCCGCATTGGGTTTTAGAAGGCAATCTTTCCCCTGTTGAAGGCAGTCCTTCCCCCTGTTGAAGGCAGTCCTTCCCCCCTATTGAAGGCAGTCTTTCCCCTTTTTGAAGGTAGTCCTTCCCCTGTTGAAGGCAGTCCTTTCCCCTGTTGAAGGCAGTCCTTTCCCTTGTTGGAGGCAGTCCTTTCCCCTGTTGAAGTCAGTCCTTCCCCTTGTTGAAGGCAGTCCTTACCCTTGTTGAAGGCTGTCTTTCCCCTTTTTGAAGGTAGTCCTTCCCCCTGTTGAAGGCAGTCCTTCCACCTGTTGAAGGCAGTCCTTACCCCTGTTCTCTACCTGAGGAGATGAGCTGCTAGTTTCTGGTTTTCCAGATTTTTGGATGTGTACCTTGGTATCATCCGCATAGATACTCACTAAGAATCGGAGTATGCTCTTAGGAAGGTCGTTAATATAGAGGATAGGACTGAGGAGATTACACTGAGGAACACTGGCATTGGTCTTCCGATAGCTGGGCCGTTAACAACGACCTTCCGGGACCTAAATGTTATCAAGGGTTTAATTGAGAAAGCCACTCCAGACTTTCCATAGCTGGAGAGTTTATGTAGCAACCGTCGATGCCATAATTTGTTAAAAGCCTTTAATATATCGAGAGCGATGGTCCCCGGGAAGAATGTATTGTCTAGTGTCTCGCTGATTCTATGTTTTTATGGACTTTTGTCTGTGTTTTGGTTTTGGTTTGGTTTCGTGTATTTTACGGCTTATCAACCTCAATGGGTTATTTAATGCCGACAAAATTTTTATTGCTGGTGATATTTTTTCCCAAAAATGTATTACTAGCCATATTTTTTTTTTCTTCAAAAAATCAATTTCTGGTAATATATTTTCTTCAAAAATGCATTGCTGGTAATATCTTCTTTTTTTTTTTTTTTTTCAAAAATGGATTACTGGTAATAATATTTTTAACAATGTATTTCTAATATTAAAACCTATTTTTACAGTGTTTTTTTCCCAGTTTGGGGGTTAACTATTTTTCCATAGTTGGGACCCTGACAGGTTCTACCATCCCGGTTCAGAGTGGACCTGGGAACATCAGAAATTAAGAGGTGATTCCACGCTCCTCAAAACCTCCTGATCAAAGCCTTGCTGCCGGATGTTAGTTTATCGTCATACCCAGGACGGCCGTGTTTTGGTGTGAGAAACCCGCCCCAAAATTTTGTAAAAATATTTTTGATACACACTGTATACATATTTTATCAATTTAAAGCTTATTTTTAGCAGAGGCTCATATTTGAAGAAAAACAATGAATGTAAGAAAGACAAAAAAAAAAAACAAAAAAAAAACAAAAAAACAGTGCGAGAAAGAAAGAAAGAAAGAAAGAAAGAAAGAAAGAAAGAAAGAAAGAAAGAAAGAAAGAAAAACGGCGAGTGCAAAAAAGAAAGAAAAACAAGTGAAAGAAAGAAAGAACGAAAGAAAGAAAGAAAGAAAGAAAGAAACGGCGGGTGCCAGAAAGAAAGAAAAAAAAAGGAAAAAAGGTTAGTGCAAGCAAGAAAGAAAGTGGTGAGTGCAAGAAAGAAAGAAAGAAGAAAGAAAGAAAGAAAGAAAGAAAGAAAGAAAGAAAGAAAGAAAGAAAAATGGTAAGTGCAAAAGAGAAAGAAAGAAAAACGAGTAAAAGTCAGAAAGGGAGAAAACTGGTGAGTGTAAGAAAGAAAGGAAAAAACAAAAACAAAAAAAAACAGTGCGTACAGGAAAGAAAGAAAAAAACCAGCGAGTTCAAGAAAGAAAGAAAAACGACCAGTGTAAAATAGGAAGAAAGAAAAAACAAAACAAATAAACAAACAAAAATGGCAAGTGCAAAAAAGAAGACAGAAAGAAAAACGGTGACTGCAAAAAAGGAAAATAAAACGTCAGTTGCTAGATCGAAAGAAAGATAAACGATATGTGCAAGAAAGAAAGAAAGAAAGAAAGAAAGAAAGAAAGAAAGAAAAAAAAAAGAAAGAAAGAAAGAAAGAAAGGAAAACGGTGAAAGAAAGAAAGCAATAAAGGAAAAAAACGGAGTGTGCAAAAAAAGATAGAAAGAAAAACAGTGTATGCAAATGAGAAAGCAAAAAAGAAAGAAAGTAAGAAAGAAAGAAAGAAAAACAACGGTGAGTGCAAAAAAGAAAGGAAAATGACGAGTGCAAAAATTGAAAGAAAGAAAAACGGTGAAGGCAAGAAAGAAAGAAAAAAAAAGAAAGAAAAAAGAAAGAAAGGAAGAACGAAAAAGAAAGAAAAGGAGAAAAACGGTGAATGCAAGATAGGAAGAAAGAAAAAAAACATGTGTGTAAGAAAGAAAGAAAGAAAGAAAGAAAGAAAGAAAGAAAGAAAGAAAGAAAGAAAAACGGTGAGTACAAGATAGGAAGAAAGAAAAACGGTAAGTTCAAGAAAGAAAGAAAGAAAGAAAGAAAGAAAGAAAGAAAGAAAGAAGGAAAGAAAAACGGTGAGTGGGTGGGAAGAGTAGAATGAAAAATTACGGAGGTAGAGACCGAAATAACAGTGGGTGTGGAGGTGTCTTCTCGTTAATGAGTGAGGAGCAAAGTGGGGAGGAAGCTAGTTGCCTGATAGCGCCAGGGCGTGCAACGTTAACGAATCAAATACCGCTTTTGACTTGAACCGCTACAAGCAGCCGCCGCCGCCGTCGCCCAAACCGCCGCCGCCTATTCCTTGCACAGACAGCGCACATTGAAATGGAGATTGGGGGTGGGGGGGGGCTTCTTCTTTTTTCCGCGCCAATTGTGGCTTCACCTCATCAAATTGTTATTTCATGAATCCCTGGAATTCGACGAATATTTTGCAAACCGCATTTACCCGATCCAAATATCAATCGGTTTTTAGAGAATAAAACCTTTTCTTTGTTCAGCCGTAATGCTCAACACAGAACAGAAGTGTCGTGAAAGAGGTTTCTGTACTTGGGGGGGGGGGGGGTCAAATAATATCAAATCCAGGGCCGGTGCATACTATGCCCGAACCCGGCGGGGAGGGGCAAGCCTGATTGGGGGCCCCCGGGCACTGCCTTGTGACCCTCGCTATCATATCAACATCTGCTTTTTTTTCTACCTACATTTATATACATTACAAATTAAACTAAGCAAAACTATTATTCAAGGATGAAAGATTTTCGCATATTTTGACGACATTCTGGGATTTTTTTTTCTTCGTCCATATCCGTGGATTTGTTTTGCTCATGTTAAAAAAAAAACCGCTATATAAAATTCATTATTTTTTATTCATAAATTTGTTAAATTATTCAACTTTTTAACAAGAGAGATCTAAAGTTGATGTAAAAAATTGCCACAAAACAATATCTTTGGTTATTATATTAAAGGCTTCAATCTCTTATAAAGGGTGTTTCGTTAAGATGGATCAAAGTCAGCAGTAAATAAATCAATGTTATTGGTAAAAATTTATTTATTTCTCTATTGAATCATGTTATTTAAGTCATGGCAATTATGGGCGAAAAATAATATCGCCCAAATGTCCACCAAGGCTTCGGCGGCACACCTCCATTCGACGGTCAAAATTTTTGATGACGTCTCTGCATAGTTGCTCCTTGATCTCACCAATATGCCTTATTATCACATCCTTCAGCTGTTGAATTGTTGTTGGCTTGTTGGCATAGACCTTACTTTTGAGATGACCCCAAAGGAAGAAATCTAAAGTCATCAAGTGTTGTACGATCGTGGTAGCCAAAAGACATCGCTGTTTCGAGAGATGATGCGACCTGGGAACTTCTCATTGTATTTCTGTTTGAATGGCCATTTTCGTAATAGGCTTCGATAACTTTAACACGATGTTTGATTGTTAATCTTTCCATGGTTGAATTTGCCAAAGGCTTAAGTTGTTAAATCTGAAAGAAAAAGAAAAAAATCATTAGATGCTTAAACTTCATTCACATACATTTAAAATCGGTCCAAGTTATTGGAACACACTTTATTACTTAAAATTCTAATAGTTATAGGGAATGTGTTTAGCGATGTCTATATGGCGTCAGTGGGAAACTGGCTCCATTGGTTTGTGAACAGGACCTGTGTTTCTCAACTAGGGTTCTCCGGAAGCCTTGGGTTCCGCAAGAGGTCACTAGGGGTTCCGCAAGAAACAATGATAAATAGGCTAATGTATTTCTGAGTAATTTTTGTTTAATTTTTTATTCGCAATTTTACGTCCGGCATATTGTTATAAAATCTTTGGTTATTATAATAGAGGCTTCAACCACTTATATTATTTAAAATTATAATAATCTTCGGAAATGTATTTAACGATGTCTATATGGCGTCAGTGTGAAACTGCCTCCACTAGGTCGTGAACAGATCCTGTACGTGGGGGATTCGTGTATTATTGAGTGACTCACTCATCTACAAGACGGGTTTCCATATATTATGTTTACCATATGAACTACAATAAAATATAAAAGAGATGGATATTAATAATATCTATCTATAAAAGGCAGGGTGTGTGTGTGTGTGTGTGTGTGTGTGTGTGTGTGTGTGTGTGTAACGAATGCACGGCCGCAATTTTCGATGGATTTGCACCAAAATTTACATGTACATGCTCCAAGTTAGCGGGAAGGCCAAGACCGACTTTGCATTTCACAACTCCCATCGATAGTGGAAATAATCGATATTTTCATGCTACTACGGCAGTTTTCATGTAGTTTGCGGCCATTATCTACTGGCCAGAGTGAGAGCCTATAGCTGGCTGCCACGAATAGGCAGGAAGATTCTATTGGCCAGCGTGATAGCCAACAGCTGACTGACACGAATGTTAACTAGCATGCCAAAAAAAAAATCGATAGCTGCATTCGTCACAAGTGGGAAAAATTTAAATCTGCATGGCACTTTACTCCAATTGGCTCATTCGCTTGCTTAAACTCAATCTTGATTCTGATTCCGCAGAACTGGGTTGGGTGTGAAAAAGTATTTGTTGTTAACATTCTTTTTTCATTCGGTTTTTCCAGTTACGAGTCCTATTAAAAATTTCCAAAATCGTCATATTTCCGTGAAAATGTATATGCTGAACTCGAAAACAACGACCAAATTTTGATAAGACCAACCGTTTTGTAGTTATCGACAATAAAAATTTGGACTCAGTCGCGTTCATTCGTCCGCCATTGCAGGCCTTGTTTAACTACATTCACTGCGGAAGCTTAATTAACGGCCTTTTTACTGCTTTTACTGCTCTTACTCGTGTAAATTACTACGCACTGTCGAAAAACAATGACAAGTGGTAAATAAAACTTTCTTTTTAGATTAAAAAAAAACAAATTAAATAATAAAATAGTTTCTTGAAACTATTTGAACATCCTTAATAGATCTTGTGCCAACCTCGCTGAATTGTATCTCTAGGATATGGTGCTTTGTAAAAGAAGTAGAGGAAAACCAAAAGAGAATTACATAACATAATTCTGTGTTCACCAATGGCGGCACTACGTATGCTTGCTTGAGAACATAATAAATGTCGGGGAAACAGCCATGTTATTTGGTTGAGTCATAAATAATTTCCGTTTCTTTCTAGCAACTTTATTCTTTAAAAAACAATGTATATGTATAATGAGATTTTATTCTATTGTATATTAACCATTATTTGCAATGACTTGTTAACTCTTATCAAGCATCTCTTCAATACCTTTGAAATTTCTTTTTACTTATTTTGATATATTATCATTTTAAACGTTATTTTTAGTGGATACTCATATTTGAGTAGACGCTCCGTTTGTTTAATAAACAATATATTTATTTATTCTTGTCTACCGGCCTGAATATCCCAGAAATGTTAATAAAGAGAAAAATGAGGCCTTCAGCAGTATTCGAACCTGCGAAGCCCCGTGAAAGGAAAACCGACGTTAAATTCGACGTGGGTTAGATCTCTCAACCGCTGAGATGGTATTTATCAATTCACCCACAGGAATTGAATGTGGCACAAGGCCTTTTTAATGTGGGTATGTCTGAGCCCGTAGGCCCAGCCAAAAATAAAACCCATCTAAACCCGTCCAAGCGGGCTAGTTCCGTCAACCTCCCCGAACGAAACCCCACCCTTCGGCGGAGCTTCGTCCGGGTTCCCCTCTGCAAGCAGAGAGTTCGACAGACACCCGACCCGGCAGCTCACAAAGCGCAGATACTACACTTTGATCCTAGCCACCGGGCCGAGCTATGTTGAATAGTTCATTTAAATAGAAATCCTTCCTTGACTCCGCTCAGTTTCGTATTCTGACGTAAACAAAGCCATTCCTAAAGAAGTGATGGAATTTTTATTTATTAATCCGATTGATTTTATGACAAACATTATTTAATGGATACCCATATTTGAATAGACGCTCCGTTTATTTATTAAACAGGTCAGATTAATAAATTAAAAAAAATCCATTACTTCTTTAGAAATTGCTTAAATTTTGATATGAAATGGTTTTCGACAAATGCTGGAATCTAGTTTTCATTAGAAGAGGTTATTCCTCATCAAAGTGTTTTGCATCACTCGGAAATGATAATAACCAGTTGGTCCAATGTCTGCTTCATAGGGTCCAATTGAATTCTAAAATTTTCTCTGTGGTATTCTTGCCTTTGCGTTGTCATGGAGCAGAAAGTTTCTCCTCTAATCCACTGTGTATGCTGCCACGTATATTAGTGTACCCCATTCACCTACGTGCTAATAATCCTCTTCTTCTCCCTCCAGCTATGGGAAAATAGAAGGAGGGACCGGATAACAACTGGTCTATCGAAAATCACATGATCGCTTGCGTGCATAAAAAAATGCGCCCTCGTTTGCTGTCGCGTATCTTTCGATACATGACTGACGAGGGAGATTTTTTTTCCGGGGTAGGTTGCTATTTCTTTTTGCGGTAGACCAGTTGTCATCCGGTCCCTCCTTCTATTTTCCCATAGCTGGAGGGAGAAGAAGAGGATTATTAGCACGTAGGTGAATGTAATGGATTCGACTGGAATTCGAACTCGGCCCTCCGATTCCTCAATCCGAACCGCTATCCACTACTCCACCGTGCCTGACAAGTCTAATTCGTAATCAGAATGATACATTCGTCATTACAAACGGCGCCCTTTTTTTTTTTTTTGTAGATGTAGAGAGTCACATAGTTTATATAAATAGGATGGGAAGAGAACGGTTAACTCAACGATTGTAGTGATCGGGGAAACATCCTCTTGGGAGTCTGTTCCACAGGGCAGTGGTTCGCGGGAAGAAGAGGAAGTAAACGAAATTACTTATGCCTAAATGTGCGGGTGGTGTAATAAATTGCGGATCGCAATGAGAAACCGAAGAGCAGAGTTCGAATTCAAATCGGGTTTGTTACATTCATTTACGCGCAAATGGCCTCGAGAAAGCTATAAATCAATCTCTTCTCCTTCCTCCCAGCTATGGGTTAAACGGTAGGGCAAATCGGGTTCCGTTCGGTTGGCGAGCATTATAGAGATGGTGACTCGATAAAATCCCATAAGTCCCAGCAATTCTGACCGACACGTGTAGATGCATCGGCTCGTGAAAACGCACTGTGTTTGAATGTTTTTAGTCGTATGAGTTGTGCAGTCTGGTGCCGACAGAGAAAGCGGTTACATTTTTTTTTGTTTACTTATGACTCAACTTAATGGTTTGCCGTAGGCGGAAACATCGGCTAATAATTTCTTTGTTCCAATTGGCTGTTAAATGACGTTTTTATGTTTCAAACGTAAAGAACAACAT